GAAGAAAGGGTTCAAGTAAGTCACGTTGCACACTCTAGTTTCTGCTGAACCCGGAAACGCCGGAATCAGCGCCAGCTCTGCGCATTGGCATCCTGCGTGCGAAGGGCTGTGCTATCTTGTCCTTGTACCCGTTGCTCCTTTACTGCGGTACTGATACTTTGTCTCACGATTCCATGCGAAGTGAATAGCACACTTTCTGCTCTGGTTGAATCTATCAGACATACCAAAGTAGGCGATGATGAGACTTCCCGATTACGCGGGCAGGACAATGATGTCGATTGGTCCCGGTGTGGTGACTGCAAATGGTCGTGATGACAATTTCGATGATGACGCAGATGTTGGTGACCGTGGTGAGAACTACAACAGGAACCTGCCACTACCCCTGTACCATCACCCAGGCAGCCAGCGCGACGACTGCCGTGACGACAACGAGCAGAACAACAGCTACGGAATGTGCAGCACCACAGGAGTGTGGTGGACAGCCTCCCCGAGCCTCACTGCCACCCATGTGACAAACAACGCCGTCACCACGCACCATTACAGTCAGCATTCTCGGTCCATCGACACAACCTCCAATACTTGATTGTCCCAGCTTGCACCACGAGTCAGGAACAAGCCGTCTATGCATACTACAGACGAGTTTTCATAGAGCCCTGACACAAACCTGAACGGTATTTCGTGAGACAATCCCTTTGTGACATCGCTGCTAGCCACCCGAGATTTTCTCAAGAGCACACCCTCAAATTGAAGTTTAAGAGCAAGAAGACGTACAATCGAGCAAGAATTCGTACAATCAAGTTAAGATGAATAATTGTATATAGTATAATGGGCCCCGTAACCCTATTCTAATCATTAAGGCCCCTATGAATCGAGGCTGCGCAACGTCCTCTGCGCTGTGGGCCTTGAGCGTGCAAGCGCCTCGGCTCGTCAGGGTGTAGACACTGTAAAATATCGGGGGCCTGAAAAGGTAGGATGAAGGTAGGTGGGAGGGATCCTCAATCCCACCTACCTTCATCCCACAATGTGAGGCCTCCTAATATCGAGGCCTTCATAATGAGAATACGGCTCCTTTTTAAAAAGGGGTTCCTTTAGAAGGGTCCATATCAGGTACTATAATATAGGGGCCTTAATAATTAGAATACTACAGTAGCAGCGGCAATGAACTTGCCCACACGTGTTCATAAGCAATGAAGACAAGACATGTGGAGCCAAGACAAGTTGACAGCTCGCGGGCCTGTGGTACTTTGACTTTGGTGCGGCATCTGTTCCAGACATGAAGCGAGAATCATGAAGCTCAAGAACAAATCGAGGACAAGCTTAGCAGCCCAGCCCAGCAAGACTTTCCAGCTTCTGATTATTCTTCTTGTTGCTGGTATCATTCTTCTTCGTGTTATTCCCCAGCTTGGAGCCATCTTTCGACAAGGCCGCCACACTCGCCTGGCGCGACGCTCTCTTCTAGAAAAGATGCCATGGCAGGGATCCCAGGATTCAAGCGGCAAGGGCTTGTTGCGCAATCGATGACTCCTTATCTGTATCAGTTTGGGGTTCATGTAGCACCCAGGGCATCACTGGGGGTGGGAAGGTAGCTGCATGTACCCATGTCATAGCAAAGCTGGCGGGATGCTGGCGCGGCGAGTGAAAATCACGACAAGTCTCAGGGTCAAAAGGTCGACTCAAGGTTGCAGGGCCTTCAGGAGTCATGAGAATGTGGGAGAATCGCAAAGACACCGCTCACAGCCTCGTTTGAGCAATTTACGCATTCTGAGGCCTCAGTGGCTTTTCATCATGCGCGATCAATCGAACTCTTAGGCTGTCTATTGGCGTGGCAGGGCACTGACAGTCTGCATCGTCGCGCCTAGACAAGCCGTAGCTTGGCCGAGGCCGTAATTAAAGGCTAGGTTGAGGCCGTGTTTAGGCGAGTAAGCCGGATGGTAGCCAGTGCCATCTGCAAAGCGGTGTCCAAAATCCTGCCGTATATACTTGGTAGTAGAGGCATCCGAATAAAAGCAGTCTCGGCTATGCCCTCAGAAAGTCGGTGCTCGGCCAGCACCAACACAGAAAGCAACGCCTTCGTCTGTCTAGCTTGTCCAGTAAGCTTTACGCCTCCGTTAGTAGCCTTCATGGGCACTGTGTGGCCTGAATCTTTCCGGAAAGGCTTTCCCGAACCTGCTGCACAAGGCATGTTGCCATCTTGCAGCAGACTTGTAACCAGCATCTGGAAGCGAAGGACAACAGTAGCTAGCAGCGAATCCTTCAACTATACTTCAAGCTTTAAGATCTTCTTTCTCACTCGTCTACTCTAAAAGCCTGCATACTTAGTGGTAGGGTTCCTTAGGCTTCCTGTGGTACTGTTTCTAGTATCCTCCTACCAGGTTTAATATGCCTGCATGGCCCAGAAGCCCCAATCAAATGCGCCGAGACTGCAGCCTCTCTCGCAGGAGCCGGAGCTCCAGGAAAAGCAACAAATCCCGTCTGAGCAGCCCCTGAGAAAACCTGAAGGAGCAAGCCCCATAAAGCAGGGCTTCCACAGGTGACCAGGTGCCAAAATGCCCTCAGGACTCTCGTTTCGATCTACTGACTGACTGCTTCGCTTTTTGAGTCTTCTAAACCCGAGGGGGCGTGCCATCCGCACGAGGGGCTCTACCGGCAGTTCAGCTGCCGCTCAGCAGGGTATGGTCTATCCATATATGTGCCCAATCCAACCAGCGGGCACGAACAAATCTCGCCGGTCCATGCAAGCCAATGGACCACCTGACCAGACTGCAAAATGTGCTACAACGACCAGCACGACGACCTACTTCTGGAGCCTCAGCTTTGGGTTTGAGCATCTATCCATCCGAGACTGGAGCCTTTTGCTGTTCACCGTCGCTGGACCTCTGGACCTCTGCACCTTTTACAGCCCGAAAGACCGAACTTTAGTTCTAACGTAGCATGCTACACAAACTGCCGCAGTAGCTGCAGCCTGATCTCTACTTTTCTTATGGAAGATGTCACGAACTCAGGACTTTAGGGACCGCTCAGCTCATTCTCCCCCTTGTCCTTCTTGAAGTAGGGTTCCCTTACTTGGGGAGACTTGTCCTAGAGATCCTACTGTTCTGATCCAGAGGCTGGATCATTTAGGGCTCTCTTCTTGGTGGAACATCGACATCACATCATTCAGCCTATAAACCTCGATCTCAAGCATCCACCCCTGAGAATCATCAGTCGATACCTACAGCCAAAAGCCCCCGAACCAGAAATTGCCAAGGCCGTAGGCGCCGTAGACTGAAACCCAAACTCTTAAACCACAAAGTCCAATTTCACCACATCCTGAACCACATTACACATGTCCCTAGACAATCTAGATGTGCCGTCACCGATAGTCGTGCGTGGTGGCCTGCTTTAGGCTTGCAATAGACAAGCCGAGGCAAAACGCGTGGAGGACGTCGAAAGCATGCCACTGCGAATCTCGCCCCTCTGGTGATACAAACTCCTGTGCCGCATGGTGAGACTGCGGAGGGCAGTATGCTGTCCGCTGTCGGCCCGTCTGGCGCCCACGTCCACACCAGATGCACCCGGGCCAGCAGGTCGTATAGTCGCACCCAAGGGTTTGATCGGTGGCGCTCGGGAGGCCTTGGAGTAAACAAAAACGCTGCCAAGCGGTTCCTCATTGATATTCTTCGAGGCAAAGGTGCCTCACGAGCCCTGCAGGCTTCCCGAGACGCCTACTAGTACCCTACTGAATGATCTGATGCCTCTTGGAGGGGATCGCGAGACTTTAGTCACAACTGCCTGTGCATACCAGGCAGTTGTGAAATGCTTCTACTTGCGCATGGCCATCTGCGACCCGTAGGATCCCTTCCGAAGTAGTTCGCCCGTGGCAAACGCAAAACTGGTTCCGTGTTCCAACAGACCGCAGCACCTTGACCGCCTTGTCCTCGCGGACGCGTTAAAAGTGGGAATCACACGGACAAAACCAATTGATCAGCAGATGGCTGCCACATACATGTATACATATACATATACATATACATATATATATATATATATATATATTAGGCAGACGCTTGTATTCACGTATATAGATATGCAGAGAAGTATGATCACATATATATACAGACAAATACAAATGACAGCATGCAAAATACATATACATATGCATATGCATTTACATATACATATACATTTTCATTTGCATATGCATATGCGTATGCATACGCATATGCATATACATACATACATATACATACATACATATGTATGCATGCATACACGCACACACACACACACACATATATATATATATATATATATATATGTGTGTGTGTGTAACATCGAAATGGGTGTGTGCATCTATCGACCCATCCATTCTCGCATGCATACATACATACATACATACATACATACATACACACATATTGTCAGCACAAAGGGGCAACCAGAACACACATCACGGTTTGAACTGTTGGCAAGATCGACGGGCGCCTTCAGAAAGCAGGGCTTGCCAACGGACTTTCTCAAAACCGTCAGTAGCAGCATCGAGCGAGTCCCAGCCGTTGGGGCTAAACCCCATTGCATGCCTGCATTCATCCATCTATGTATGTGTGTACGTGTCTATGTATGTATATATATATATATATATATGCGCATACTGAGCCTTCTTGATGTATATCACGTGTATACATCATGTCACAACTCGGATCACAGTGTCTGTCTGAGGTGCTGTGGTCTCGGTAGTGCCTCTCCCAGGAGGTCGGTGTTGCGAGAGAACTGGGATCGTCAAAATGCAAACAAACGCTTCCTCCGAACGATGTCTTATTGTATTGTAGTGGCTCCGTAAGGCCGTAAGGGTATTATAATAGAAGGGTTCGGAGATGAACTTTTGCTCGGTTCTTTACACAACCTCCTGAAGAGACCGTGGAAAGGGTTGAAACAAGAGAGGTTTGTTCCAGCCGTAGAGAAACACGCGATACCTGGAGTCTTTATCTTTATGACTCTGGCGGGAGCAAACCTCCCCAACCTCACTGCCCTCGAGGAACCGCTGTGAAGCCGAGCATTGAGGGATCCACCTGGGACAGGCAGGTCTCATGGAATTCCAAAGACCTGCATGTTCAGATACTCGCACGGGTGCCGCTGCCGACGCAGCAGGACAGCGCGGCCGTGCCTCTTTGCCCTTCACGCGTTTCTTCCGACCACCCGCCCCTGCCGCCTGGCTCACGCTTCGTGTCATCTCATGATAGGAGGAGCAAGTTTCAGGAGTCCATGCAAACATGGGAACCCGAGTGTGCACAGGGCATGCTTTGCAAATGGGGCTCATGATTTCCTGTTGCCAGTCCAGATTCAATGCAGGCCTCTTGAGCTCGCAGATAACCCGAAGAGGAAAGGGCGGCTATCCCGAACTGGAAACCCGTACAGGATAAGACTTCAATCGGTGAGGGTCTGAAACATACGTTGAATTGCGGCTGCAGGATTTCTGGATTCAGGGCCGGCCTCTTTCGCTGGCTTCTCTGCAATCAGCCCCTTCTCCACGAACGCCTGAGGAGGAAGCTTGGAGGCAGACTGTTCTAGGTCGCATCCTCGTCAACTGCATCAGACACTTCTTGGAATGGTGCCTTCACCCGGTTTTCAACGGCATCCAAGTGTTCCAAGGCTCCGCTATTCCGCAGATTGCAGGTGAACAACGTGTGCCATGCAAGGCCAATGCGCAGGTTGACGTTTTGAGGCTTGCAATTCCTGTGCACTGTGCGATTGTCTGAAGTATGACATGCACAGGAGTCTTGTCTAGGACAGCACCACAACACACACACACACACACACAAGCAGCAACAGCCACCATGGGAACCTCGGTAAAGCGACGTGCCGTGTCAGCGTCCGCTTCGTAGTAAGCCTGCGCCGAGACAGGGATGGAATCTCAGTATTGTGTGTTGTATACTTACCTCGGTCATATTTGTTGCAGTGCCTGTCTGGGTTCAGGCCTCGTGTGATGGGTTTGAAGTGCTTGGCATGCATGCTTCAGGAACCGGGCCAATAGATCCGACGGCCAAACCAGAGTAGGAAATATATATTTGCCATGTTTACTTCTAGGTCGTATACGGGGTCATAAAGGACTTAGACGAAACACTCATGCTTTTGCACCAAGGATGGAAGCCTACCTACAGACATTTCAAGCGCGAGCTTCGGGCTTTGCACCTGCCTGCAAGTAGTCATGGACCTCCGTGGAGGTACCAACGGACAGGAGGAAGCCCACGAGGGGATCTTCCAAAGGAAGGCCGTGTTGCGTCAAGAGCTCCTGGCAGCGGCTCCGAAAACTCAAGATGCTTGACCGACCCACTTAAGTTTTGGGTTGAGGCTCACGAGACTTTTCTGCTTCTCAGTTTTCACACCTCTCACTTCGAACGTCGAAGGCCGCATCGCACCCTCGAGCGACTCCACAAAGCCGAGTATATCATTCCACACATAAGCCACAGCCTTTGAAGTCAGTCGAAGCTGTAAAGCGCAATATGTATATAAACATATGTATATATACATATATACATGTGTATATATATATATACATATACATATATATATATATATGTGTATATACATGTATATATACACATATTTGTAAATATTTTGTATATGCATGTACCTGAGATATTTCTGCATAAACAGATAGACTTGTAGATGATCCAAAAGTCAAGAAGCAGACCAGACCCTGCTCTCGGACACCTTGGCTTGCTCGCGTCTCTGAACACCTTGGAAAATCGTTGGGAAGCGACGAACGAACTTTGCAAAAGCGCTAGCTAAAACGCGCGTTCTTCCTCAGCTTCTTAATTTAATGCACTTCGTACCAGCGCCCTTGTCTGAGAGTGGTTACGGGGTTGGCATCCCTGTCCTGTTTCGGGGAAAGTAGCGCAGACAGAACGTGGACCGTCACAAGTCAACAGGCAAGCCACAGCGTCCCAAAACTATCATCTCAGTGCTCTTCGGTTTTCGACCCGTTTAACCGTCATGCAGGCGTTAATACTACGCTGCACGAATGCACCCTTAACCAAAACCCCTGAAACCATTCGCACCCCTCAAACCCCTAAAAACCTCGTCGCCGCCACCTCCAATCCGATGCCAGCGATTGGGAACAGCAAAAGCTCTAATATAGAGGCTTTCATCAATAAGAATAGGGTTTCGGGGCCCATTACACGATAATTAGAATGTTGAACCCCCAATATAGTATAGGTAATTATTCAGGCCCCTATAGTAAGGCTCGAGCTCTTCTCGTCATCCTTCTTGGATGGAGCGGCCCTTGGCAATCTGGCAATAAACAGAGGTAAGGGAACAACTATACATACATCTCTTGTCGTTGATCTCTATCTATCTTCTGCAACCTGTGTGTAAACATTGTTGTAAATGTAAGTGTGTATACAAATATGTATGTATGTCTACATACATATGTATGTATATATATATATATATAGATGGAAGGGATTGGGGATTTGGCGGCTACAGGTTTGGGGTTGGGGAGTCTAGTGAGTCTAGTAACATCCGAAGCATCTTACTCAAAACTCGTTTGACCTGCACAGCCTTCGCCCACGCTCCCTCGTAGTCGCCGCAGCCGAAAATCCACACCGGAAGCCCTGATATCTGAAACTCTGAACTCTAAACCCCAAACCCTCCAAAAGCCGAGATCTTAAAACCTGCTAAACCCTACGTTCCGAAAAGCAGAACATCCCTTAAACCCCACGATGCAAAGCCTTCGATTTGGAGTACCCTAGCCAAACAAAGGCTAACCTTTTCAATTATGGTAGGATTGTACAAAAAACCAGAAGATTCAAGGTTACCTACTTCAGCTGCAAAGAAGCTGGGATAGTAGAATGGGCCCCAAAACCCTATTCTAATTATTAAGTCCCATATACTGAGTCCCCAAAACCCAAGACGCAAAGCTGGGAACCCGTAAATCCCTCAAACCCTCATCCCTAAACCCCTGAACTCCTAAACCCTAAACCCTTAAACCCCAAGACGCACCCTAAACCCCTAAACTAAACCCTAAACCCTTAAACCCCAAGACGCAGAGCTGGGAAGCCGTAAACCCCTCAAACCCTCATCCCTAAACCCCTATAAACCCTAAACCCTTGAACCCCAAGACGCACCCTAAACCCATAAAGTCCTAACCCTAGAACCCCAAGACGAGGGCTGCGAAGCCGTACACCCCTCAAACCCTCATCCCTAAACCCCAAAACCCTAAACCCTTAAACCCCAAGAGCCAAGACGCACCCTAAACCCATAAAGTCCTAAACCCTTAAAACCCCAAGACGCAGAGCTGGGAAGCGTACACCCCTCAAACCCTCATCCCTACACCCTATAACCCTTAAACCCCAAGACCCACCCTAACCCGCAAAACTGGGAAGCCGTAAACCCCTCAAACCCTCATCCCTAAACCCCTAAACCCTTAAGCCCCAAGACGCACCCTAAACCCCTAAACCCTAAATCCTTAAACCACAAGTGGCAAAGCTAAACCTCTCAAATTCTCATTTCTAAACCTTTAAGTTATAAACACTTAAACCCCAAGACGCACCCTAAACCGCAAAGCTGGGAAGCCATAAACCCCTCAAACCCTCATCCCTAAACCCCTAAATCCCTAAACCCTAAATCCCTAAACGCCTAAACCCTAAATCCCTAAACCCTTACAACCCCAAGACGCAAAGCTGGGGAGCAGGCTTGCTGGGTGTCGCCTTCGCCTTCGCCGCCTTGGGAGAGGGCCCGGGCTCTGGGAAGTCGCTGGCGTTGGGCACCTGGCCACGGCACTTCGAAGCCTTCATGCGTAAACAGTGTACATATGTATAAGTGTGTATATATATATATATATATATATATGTATGTGGGTGTATATGTAAGTATAAGTAATTACAAGTATAAGTATAAGTATATTTTCAAGTTCATGCCCATGTCGATGTCTATGTGTATGTGTCGGTGTATGCGCACGTGTATGTACGTATGTATGTATGTATGTATGTATGTATGTATGTATGTATGTATGTATGTGTGTGTATATTTATATGTATACATATATATATATATACACACACGTGTATAAAGGTCTTATGTGGTTGCGGTATGGGTTGGGTACTGCCTGTAACGGTCTGTATTAGGGGTCACATTAGGGGCTATATACACATGTAGATATTATCCAACTGTTGCGCGGTGGGGGCGGTACCTAAAACATATGATTCAGGGTTTAGGGATGGAGCGTGAAGCATCATGAAGTTCATGGAACAAATTGTTGCGAGGATTCTGATCTGCTATGTCTTCAACCACCTGCACAAGCAGACCGCATGCATACTCCAGGTCTGGGAAAGGGACTTCAAACCGCTCGTACACTACTTCAACCCAATCCGTCAGGGACACATCTGGCGGTTTCTACTTCTCCGCTGTGCATAAGTTTACTACCTGTATAAAGGATGTCATCAGCATAGACATATATATATATATACACATGCATACATATATATATATATATATATACAAACATGTATGTTTATAAGACATATATATATATACATGTGTATGTGTATACAACATACATAGTCCTCTTCTATATATATATATACATATATATATACACACCTCTATAAATACATCACCTATATAATATACATGTATTCTTATATGTACATATATCAGGTGCAGCCTCCCCTCCCTCCTTCGGCCTTCACAGGGCGCATTGGACGCTCCCAGAAACCACCAGTCGCCGTAGCAGTCTCAGACGGTGCCATGACCACCTCCTGCATTTTCGGAAGAGAAAGAACGAAACCACCATGGCATCCCGCAGTCAGCGAGAGAGAGGCAGAGAGAGAGAGAGAGAGAGCGATATATATATATATATATATATGTATATATATATATATATATATGTATATAAGTAGAATATGTATGTATGTATGTATATATATATATGTGATACATCACAATGCAATACAAATCAAAACAGCAAAACAGCAGAGTTCCAAGCACAAACTGATCCTGGGGTCATATGTGGAGGCAACCCACGAGATAAGTTGGAGGGAGATAAGGACTCTAGGGTACCGTTTCGGATGGTTTAGGTTTTTGGTTCCGGGTTTGGGGAAGCATAAAGCATGCATAATTGTCTTGTCTTCTGTGATATCACACTGTATTATGTACTGCCATAGTGTCATGAATGGTTTATCTTGCCCTATCTCTTCTTACATGCTATGCATGGTACTGTTGCTTTGTATTGTATTATAATATCTTCATCGTTTTCTGTGAAAGATTCATAATATTCGTATGTGCATGTATACTGATGTTTATATTGCATTGTATGATGTTATACTATAGTGCGTCATATGCGCTGTATCGCATGGTGTTGTACTGCATTTTGGCTTTGCATTCGGATTTCAAGGTCTGCCCCGCAATGGGCCGGCTGATTTTCGTTTAATATACGGGCCTTCATAATTAGAATAGGGTTTTGGAGCCCATTATAGTATAACTGGAATAAGGAATCTCCCAAAATAGTCTAGGTAATCCCTAAATTACCCAATCCGAAAAATGGATTCGCTAGCCCCACATCTCGAAGGCAACTGCTCAACCCAGGCCTCAGCAGTCCCACCGAGGGTGGGGAACTCCTGCGGCATGGGTGCTCTCTCAGAGTCTATAGGCGCTGCAATGGACTTTGATGCTGTTCCTTTATTCCGCCCACATTGGGTGAAACCTGTGCTTCGGAGCTTGACCTGCTACTTTGAAAGGCTTTCTTCTTCCTCCAGCACTGACCCATCGAAACTCTGCTGCGAGGTTTCGTCGCAAGCCTTCGGTGTATTGGGAGGCCGTAAAGCCCGTGTGGGAGGCTCTGAACTTCCCAGGAAGATCTGTTGGGTTGCGGACGCCATTGCCACGTTGCACCAACCCAGGGCAGAAACATTGGGACGCGCACTGCGCTGTCGGCCAAGGGCCAAGGACAAAAACTGTGCTTTTTGCGTTGTACTTCCGATGCAGGGCCCTAAACCCTAAACCCTAAATCCTAAACCGATGCAATGCCCCGTTGACTTGAGAGCAAGAAATCCGAGAGCAGACTCGAAGCAATGAGAACAGAAGGCAACATCCCCGAAAGCCCTAAAGATCTGCAGAGGCACCAAACTTTGTGGCAAAAGCTCATATTCTCAAGCTGTGAACCTGCACAGCCCTCGGACAAAGGACCCCAAATGCTAAACTAAACTGAGGGGATCTGAAAGGCTAAATCCTGAATCTTACACCCCAGGCTCCGAAACCCTTAATCATAAACCTTAAACCTCGAATCCTTAACCCTACAGCGAGGTATCCCTGCAAGGGATGCTTCTGTCTATATGGGTTCCTTCCTTTTTGCTTAAAGGCTCTGCTACCGTTTTATGCCCCAGAGCTTCAGACCTTCGAGGACTGGATCTGTGGAAGAGGCGCGGCCTGGGCTATTCGGTTCAATTCCCTTCAGGGTTACGTCACGGGGTTCCTTTCAAGCGTTCCTTTAAAGGAGCCTCTAAAGGAACCCTTAAAAGGAGCCCTGTAAGGAATGCTATAGGGCCAGTCATTTACGAGTTCACAGGCATCCTTTAAGGCCTCCTTGCAGGGCTTCCAGTAAGGGTCTGGTCCTTTCACAATATTTTTTCCGTGGTGGTTTTCTGCGGTGGTTCAGAAGGACAGCAAACTCTGAGGGAGGGCTAGTGGCTCCGAATCCTCCGATCTTGCTGCTGTTGCACTACGAAAATTGCAATCAAGATCACCACTGGTATTACTATAGTGTTTCTCATGACTATAGTAGCTTCTTCTGACGATTGGCTCATAGATATGCGACCTCCTTCTCGGCTCGCGGCAGGAGAGTCATCGCTGTTCTTGCGATGCGGAGGGCCTGCACATCTGCCAAAATATAGCCATGACTGTCTGTCGGATGCGCCAAGAAACAGCTGTGAAGGCAGACACGATTTGAGGATTGTTGAATCAGCCGGCGGAATTCGAAATCCACCTCAACACCCTGACTCCGTGAAGTCGGACTAGAGTTTTGGGGTATATTATACTATACTTCTTGTCACCAAAATAGTATTGGTAATTTAGGCCCCTAAAATAGCGCATCCGACCATCCGCGAGGCCTGGCTTCACATCCGGAGCAGCGCTGGGCCTGAACGAGTGCTCATGCAGGGCTTACACTAGGTGGGGCTTTTAAAGCCTTTGAAAAATATTAGTAAATAAGATCCTCTTAAACCCAATAAGGGAAAATATAAAATGTCCCAAAGCCCTACCTAGTACAGCATCCGCACAAATTCTCTCCTGACGGACCGAAGTTCAGTTGCGAGACTCTGCACGCAATGCTCCCGAATTCCAACATCTCCGAACCTTCGAACCCTGAACACAAGAAAGAACTGTGGAAGGCTTGAAGCAAGGCACGCCTGACACTTCGTGTCCCACGTCTTACTCTAAGCCGTCACCAAAATTCCAATCCAATCACCCGGCCACCGAGATAACCCGAACTGCATGAAGCTGTAGCTGGGACGACTGCGGTGGAGCCAGTGGCGCCTGAGCCTACATAGCACACAGTGTTGAAGTGTGCTGGCGAATTGTGGGAGAGCTCTTCTCTTGCATGTAGGTTTCAGGTTTTCAAGCTTGCTTTTCCGACCCTTTTCCCTTCGCAAGTGGGCTGCTTTCAGTACCTTGGGTGTTCAAAGCACAGTCACACATTGACGCATTGCACGTTCCCATAATGCGCTCGGAACTGTACTTGTTGCCACTGTAGGTGCATTCGGACAAAATGCATGTTACACATTTTGGGGCAGATTGGACAAAGGCGCACAGCAAAGAGTCAGCTATTCAACTGCGAGCTGAACACACTGGAAGCCTCGGGCATGGGTGCTCAAGCCATGATCCTACTCTGCTTGTCCGGTCTCCAAAGTTTCCAAGTGAGCTAAGCAACACAGACGCTTGTGTGCAGCAGACAGTCTGCAGAGTGGACATCCCAAATTGCCTCCACTTGCGTTTGCATTGGCTTTACTACACTGCTTAGAGTGTGCGAGCACCACATCAGAAGTTGTCGACTGCTCTACTGTACCCGAATCGTGCCTTAGGCAAAGTTGAGCAAGATTGACATTGGTACACGTACCTCTATTTTAGAGTCCCCCCTGCGTCACTTGCTGTAGGCAGCTTCCCGGCCTTTGCCGGTGCACGACCTGGCCAACAGTCATGCCCCTTGAACGCTGACAGAGAGGCAGCGACCGCATGAACTCCTGATATCAATTTGGGACACCTTTTGAGCAAGGAGCCCATCAGATGCCATCGTTTGCTTGGCTAGAGCATAGGATGCCCAACAGCAACGTAGCAAGTCATGCCAAAATCTATCGTAGGATTGGAGAAAGGAATAGTATTGGCAGTATTGGCATTTTTCAATGGTCCACATTACCTCGAAACCCCAATAGAACCCTTCTAGCCCCATGTTACGCAGGCTTCTACATTGCCGAGCTGCCCTAAATGCTTTCTAGCTTCTCCCAGCCTTGACCCTTGTCCTCCTCAGTCCTCTTCGCCGGCCTTGGCGGCTTGGCGGCTCAAAAGAGGCTCATGGCCTATAACAGTATCATGCTATATCTGCGCAGCAGTACAATCGTACACTAGTGCCGGGGTATACTAGTATCACAGTACAATCGTCGAAATACTGGTGTAAAAGTATCTGCAAAGATCGACCGTACGCCTGCCAAGCCTCTGAAACGGCTCACAGACCTCAACAAGGATTGCTTTAGGGTTTAGGGTTTTGAGGTCTCGACAACGAAACTTAGACAATAGAAAGGCAGGTCTCAGCCCATACCGCTTCCCCGCCATCCCCCCGATTGAACTTTGGAGAAGGGTTAGCGCCGCCTCAAACCAGGAAGAAGAGTCCCAGAGAGCCATTCATTCAATCTCCCATAATGTTCTAAGATATTTGGGTGGTTGTCAAAATAGGGGTCCCTTTCTTGGGTCCCTAATATAGTGCGGCACCTAATATTTGGGGTACCCAAAAAGGGACCCTAATTTTGACAACCACCCATTTTTCTATGGAAATATGATCTTAGATTAAAGCTCGGAGCCGATAAGGCATCGGCTGCTTCGGCGGGGCGGGCTTGGCCTTCGCCTCCAACCTGAGGGGAAGATCGGAAATGTAGTGGTACTACATAGGTATAATGTAACAATATAGGATCATGTAGTAATACATTCATATGTTTTGTAAACACAAAACACTACAATCCCAGTTCCAGCAGAAAGAATCAGCGGAAAGCGAGGCCTGGATCTCTGCAAGATGCAGAGAGATAAGGGCAAGCACTGTGGGCTCATGCTGCGAGCTTACACTGGGAAGGCCGTAGACACAGGCCCGGTTTTGATAGTAGTGAGAGTGTATGTCGGGGCCTTAATACTTACCTATACTATTTTGGGGGGTGATTCCTTATTGTAACTATAGTTTAATGGCCCCAAAAATACTGTATGTTTGTTTGGATGAGCATCCGGTATCGTCTTGTTTCTGTCGCCACGGCAACTCCCTGGAACTGCTCCCATGCAACGGCCATGCCTGTGTCTCGTCCAATCGACAACCATCATGGGAATTACTGCATCCCGTCGACATGTCTGCCAGCTAAACTTCTAAGCACAAGAACGCAATCATTACCTGAGGCTTTACCACGACTGGACTGCGCAATTGCGTCTCAAGAGCTGTTTGAGGACGCTCTCTGCCGAGATTTGCGGCGCCGGTGCCTCAGGGAAAACAAAGCCAGCGTTGCGATTCCTCTCCCGGTCGTATGGATTTTCGTAACGGTCCTTGCGCTCGGTATATGTCCGAGAGTCTGTGATGCATGAGACATAACATCGTTGGATCTTGCATCGTTAGCTACGAGGAGACACTCTGACGCCACTGTGTGGCTCTTGTCTGCGAGGCCTAGGCACAAGCTGGGAAATTCAAGCGAGTGTCGGGTGTTTCTGTGCTGGTACGAAAAGTTTGGAGCATCGAAGAACTCGAATCACAAGGACTGGTGATGATGGCATTTAGGGTTTAGGGTCTAAGGGTTTAGGGTTTAGGTATCCCAATCACCTCTCAAGTTGAAGTGTCTGGGCTCGCTGACTGACACGCACATGTGCACTTGGAGTTTTGTAGCTTGTCCTTGCAAGCCTGGAGGTCTTGACTGGGACTGCAAGCTAGTTCTCAACAGTGATCGTGCGTTTCGTCTTGGAAAAGTTGGAATGACAAAAAACAGTGAGCCCACCTTCCAAGAGCGACATTTAAAGGCCTCGGAGGTTGCGGTAACCTCCCTTTGACAAATCGGGTGCATGACGATGCACGGATCAAAGGCGCAAGCCATGTCTTGAGGATCTAGGCGACATTCGTATACTACACACACACACACACTATTCTATACTATGTTATACCCTACTTTATTAGACCAGACTAGGATAGGCTCGACAAAACTCTACCATACTGTGCTACCCTGGGCTGTACTGTATAATATATACTATACAGAGCTATGCTATGCTATACCATACTTGGCTATACTGTAATACTACTATACTTGGCTGTGCTGTAACAAGACTATCCCTAAACCTTAAACCTGTAAGAAGGTATATTATAAGTATTTGACCTACTATTTAAGTAACTGGAGCCCTGGTGATATACTATATACTTATATACTATGCTGTGCTACGCTATACTATCAACCCCAAACCCTGTCTAAACCTAAAAATGGTAAGAGAAGATCCTAAACCCTAAACCCCAAACCCTGTCTAAACCCAAAAATGGTAATTAAGAGAAGATTCTAATCCCTAAACCCTGTCTAAACCTAAAAATGGTAAGACAAGATCCAGGTGTGCCTTGGCAGGCATCGAGGGCGGTTCGGAAGGCGTCTCGAGCAGCTCCAGCGCAGGCTGAGGTGTCGCATTTCATGGGGAAATCAAAGTAGTATGGTAGTATAGTGGTATAGATAGTATAGTGGTAAAGTAGTAGGGAAATCAAAGGAGAGGGGTTTTGGGTTTTGGGGGTTAGGGCATGCGGCTTTAGGGCTTTAGGGTTTAGGGGGAAATCGCAGGATCAGGGGCTTCAGGGAAATCAAAGGATCAGGGGGCTCCAGGGGTTACGGGGGCTTAGGGTTTAGGATTTCATGGCAGTTTCGGGTTAGTTATTCAGGGTTTGGCGCTTTAGGGCTTAGTTACTTTGGGTGTCGGGTTTCCATGAGGTAAGCAAGAGACTCAGGAAGCGTCCTTCAAAGAGATATGCTAAGGGTTCGATGGGTTCCTTTGACGGGATTCTTTAAGGGTTCGATGGGTTCTCTTAAAGGGTGCTGAAGGGTTTAGCAGCTTAGCACGTAAGAGAATCGTACATAGAAGCCTTGATATTTAGAATAGGGTTCTTCAAAATGATATGACAGGGATTTATTCTATGTAATGGGTTTTAGGGGCCTCAATCATTTCCCTAAGATTTTGTGGTAGTATACTATACTATAAATGTAGACGTACTACAATAAGTGGATTTTGATACTGCTTATTGCAAGCCCTGCTTAGCAGCGCTTGGATCCTCCATGCCCGTATGCTTGAGCTCTCAGAGACACCATGAAGCTTCAAAGCTCTGTGAAACCCACTGTTACCCACGTCGTCCTGCTTTTTCCAAAACCTCTCTCCACGAACCATGTTCACAAAGTTCATCCAACAAACATGTGCTCATATGTGCTGACCATGCTCACCACTAAGCCCTAAAGACTTGACTCATCAAACCTCCGCCGCGCTAGAATTTCACACACAGCAGCTTCGAGGGCATGCCATACACTCCATACGGTCCATGAGTGCATGAGGCCTCCTTTGGTGGCACTGGTGCATCGGGCGGCGCAGCCTTCAAGCAGCTCTGGCACCATGTCCATTTTTCGTAGACCCGAAAGTACTGGTACAGCAGGATAGGGTGTAGTCTGGAGTTCAGGGCGCAAAGATTAGGATCAGCAATTGGTTCTCGGGGCTTCTCAAGTATCTGGGCTGCTACTACTACGACGACGCCGACGACGACTTCCCCTACTTCGACTACAACTACGACCACTGCCACTACGACTACGACTACAAATGACCACGAGAACAGCTACGACTAGGGCACGACTACGACACCGTCGTCGATGACGACAACGACGACGGCTAATCACAGCGACGACAACGACTACCACTCTTTTGTTAAGGCACAGCGGCCTTTGCTGTGCCTCTCTACAGTGTCTGCAACCTGAAGCGAAACAGGACGAGGCTGCAGCCAGCAGCTCATTCGGCCGACGGTCGGCGGGCCCTGAGGCGTGTTGGGCTGCAGTCCACGCGTGTCGTACTACTAGTACTGCAGGTACAAAAAGTACTACAAGTACTCGTGGTACTCCACCACTCGAGTCCTCTTTGCAGCTCAGGTAATGGACAGCTCACACTCGAATAGAGGCTGGTCGACTGCTCCCGTAATGGCCTGGCTTCGCCGGGGCCGGTTGTGTGGGCTGCGCGCCTTGCAAGGATGTCGATGCCGTGCTTGACATGCAAGCGTGTGTAAATCTGCGGAACTGAAGTCTCCAAGCAGAAATCGCTGTTGATCACCTCGGGGTCTGGGGCATCGACCTGTCATGTGTCTGTGTGTGTATTGTTCCAAGCGTTCATGACTTCCTGTAACGAATCCGAAGCTTACTGAGCTGTCCATTTGCCTGCAGGACTCGCGACAACCCTTTGAAAAAGAGGAACTGCCCTTCCAAAGAGGTGCACCTCGTACAGCTTTGTTCAGAGTGAAGTTGTTGCCACGCACTTCGCAGCTTCCTTTAATTCCTAGAAGACGAACAGGTGTGTGCAGACTCGAAACATCGCCACATTGCCATGATTTTCTATCTGTAGACTAATACGACGGAAAACACTGATCATGCTAGTTCTCTTGCGATGTTGGACCGGGATACCTCGAGCCATCTCAATGCTAGCATCACGTACAGCGAGGACTGGCTGAAACCTTAGGGCAAGCATGGCTTTCTCCAACAGCTCCCAGAAGATCTGCCCAGAAGGTCGTTACTTGGAGGATCGTGGGACTTAGTAAGTAAGGTTATAAGAGTGACACTAATTATAACCCCAGTTACTAAGTCCCCTGATCCTTTAAGTAGACCACGGCGATTCCACACCCGGCCTATTCGTGCCTCTGGTGCCGGCTTCGGCCTTCTCCAAAATGCTTTAGGGCTTTTTTTTGGAGGTTCATGGGTAGTTTTTAGTGGGGTTATAAGTCCCCTAAGATGGGTTATAAGTATAGTCACCCTACATAGAAATCCACTTATAACTACCCATGAGCCTCCAAGTAGAGTTTAGGATCCCCAACCAACATGAACTCATCTTCCGGAAGGGTTGCCGATGGGCTGAGCTGGTTGGAGTATGCAAGTTCCGAACGAGCGGAAGAGTACCTAGGTTCTTGCGACGAGTCAGAGTGCACTGCAGGCGAGCATTAAACTACCATATCGTTGCAACAAACCGGTCGATGTAAAATTATTGCGCAACCTGGGCCTACCTGAACCTTGAGCCTTAACACACGGCTGCTCGTCCGCACATTCCCCACCGAGTAGAAATACCAGAGTTGATGTTCGAGCACATCCGGGCTTCTCACGGGACCGGAGCCGGACCTGTCGGTGGAGGGCCTGGCAGATTTAAACATGTACACACGGATACATTCACAATGCATGGTATCACGATGGAGTTGGAAAGCAGTGTAAGCTGATGACAACCTATGTACAGAGCATACCACGTCAGGAAGGCTTGACAGAAGTCTGCTACAAAGCTCAGTGCACGTTGTGGTTCAATGAAGTCGGCTTACGCTCACCGACGATCGTGGAGTGTAGTGTAGGTAACGTGACAGAATGAATGCACACTACTTGTTCAAAGTACATCGGAAACTGCCGCATGATCAAATGCAATAAAGCGATGCAATCCAAACTAACTGAACACAAGCCCATGCCAGACCAATACAGAACAGGAAGCAGCTTGATGGAGTTTACCACAGTCTGGCCATGCCTTCTGTAACACTAACATACTTGCGGCAGTATGAGGCAGTTTACCAAATCGTACGATCAGGGCATCACCGCCAATGTAACTTGCTGCAGTTCAGCATGATGCACCTGAAATTCAAATCATGTGCGGTGCACGTGATGTGAAATGATCTACTTTAGCAAACTGCCAGGCAATGACACAGACTTCAATACGTTCACGTTGCAGTGCAGCAAATCGCGTTGCCATGTGACCGACTGGAAGGAACAATATGTATTGTGACACGTGGTGCGCTGCTGTTGTGGGATGCCATGACAGATGCGACGTAGTGAGCTATGTATGCAGCGAACAGACAGTGCAGTGTGGTGCAAGCCTGAGCCACACAATGCCTTGCGTGTGCATATAGAAAGGTGAGAGCAGCACAGTCTGGCTCAAGTTGATGCCACAAAGAGTGTTGTGTGCGGATGCCACGCTTCCTACGCCTGCATATAAACCTTGAGAGCCTGCGCACCTAATGCTGTGCCCTGAGGGAATAGGGCAAGCTTGGGGCATTCGCAGCTTTCAGGAGTCAAGGAGTGAAAGTGCCTGCTGTAGTTGCAGCATTCTTAACTGAACTGCTGCAACAACTCGAAAATAGTCGCCTCCGCACAGTCGCATGGTGCTCTACAGTCAGATCAGTCCTTGTTGTAAGGCTTTCACCCGTCTGTGATGTTCGTGACCCTCTCGCCTGCAATCAATCCGAAGCCCGGAATTCTGCCTAAGCGAGATTCCGCCGCCGCCGGTGTCGGCGCCGGGGTGGGGGTTGCCTTTGGCCTCGCACAGACGAAACTGCCAAACAGTGCTTGTCGGGCCAAGAGCCTGCAATATAGGGGCCTTCATAGTTAGACTATATAGGGTCTTGGGCACCACCATAGAAGAATTTTAATCGAGGGCCCCTATAACAGGTGGAAACGACTACCGGGCTTGTTATCAAGGCAAATATCTCTTGACAGGTCATCTGGGATGGCAGGGACGGCAAGCTGAATAAGAGCAAGGAGCGCGCTAATGCAGACGCGCAAGCATAAGGCTAGCAAAGCCTCGACGAGCGTTCGAAACATCATAAGCACGACCCTCCCTACAGCCTACTGAAACAAACGGCTTGGTCAGATACAGCACAGTATTCCAGGAAGTTAGCGTAAAAGATGGTGCATCTGCATCGTCAACAGCTTTGGCTTCCGACTTGCTCTCGCCACCCCTAAGCGTGGAGCCAGCATTCCCCAACAACAGATCTACGTCCGACCACTACGAGAATGTGAGATGCCAGTGAACCAGCTCCTGGCCGACAGGACTGCAAACTCATGATCTCATAACAATAGTAGTGCATAATAATTAACAACCCTAACACTTACTCTAAGTAAGAATAACAATAGAGATAATGAGAAGAAGCTCTGGCGTGCGAGTTGCTGTTTCCGCTTTGGATTCATGAAAAACTGGGCCACATCGGCCACATCGCAAGAAGACTTCTGAAACCCTGTGCTGGCACCGAACGCTGCTGGGGCCCAAGCGCTGTCTGGGCCGAAGCCTGCTGCAAGAGTTGCGCCGCCTCGCGAGAAAAGCCACGGCTGTGAAACTTGACCGGCAGCGTTGACTAACTATTCAACTAGTTTCCTAAACCCTAAACCCTGAAGTCCTGGGGTCTGTTTTTGATAAAAACCAGACTATCTAAACTATTTCCCTAAACCCTAAACCCTAGAGTCCTGGGGCCCAAGCAAGACCTCACCTTGTGCCCTAGGCGCCTCATGAGCTACATTTGCACACTCCTCCGGGTTCCTTCGCCCATCAGTTTCAAGGCTGGCCCTTTAAAGCCTCTGAAAAATGTTCGTAAATAGGGTCTTATTAAACCCAATAAGGGAAAGTACAAAATATCCCAAAGGCCTACCTAGGTTTTGTTTGGGCATCAGCTCTTTAAGTTGATGATCACTAGCTGCGCTAGCTTCTGTGCAATGCAGGTTGAGGGGTTGCTGAAGTGCTGTGACTAAAGCCTGTGGCGGACTTGACACACGGCGCGCTGCAGGCACGCGTCAGCCTCTCTCAACTTCTTTTCTGCAGGGGGTTTGAGTAATTTGTTTGCAACGCAAGAACCCCTAATTTTGGGGCCTTAATAATTAGAACAAGGTTTTGAAGCCCATTATTATTGGATACTTATACTATGGAACCCCAAGGAATAACATTGATAATTTTTTAGGCCCCTATAGTGAACCCCAGACCCTTCCCGAGATCCTTCCCTCCTTTTCGCGCCTGCATCCTCGTCAAGTACTCTTGGGTCATCCGGGCCTCGTCGAAACCTGGCGGGTCAGGGCTTAGGTCACACGTCGCAGAAGAAAGTTCAGCACCAGAATTACGATAGGGGCCGGAACGGTGTTAGGGCCCATATTGTATACTATATTTATAATAAGGCACCCCCCCAACATAAAATAGGTAATGAAGTACTCAGGCCCCTGTATTACCCTTCAGCGGTTTTAACCAGTGTTACAATATTTGGTTGCTGTCATGACGAGTCTGATTTATGACTGTATGTTGCAATGCATCACCATAAGCTGTCACCAGCGGTAGTGGAGGGTAGGGCAGGAGAGGGATCTCCACAGGACCAAACGGGACGTCAACTAGCGCGATGGCAGAAAGAGGAGACATGAACTCGACTCAACGAAGGGTTGCCCCATCACTGGAGGTGTTTTGTTCGCTAGTTGCTTGCTTGAACCACCGATTCGGCATGGCATGCCTGTGGCAGAGTCAGGGTAGCTCACAACCATGTAAACCCTATGACCCTCATAACAAGTTAGTTAAACCACTACACCCCAAACCATTAATAACAGAGTTAAACCCTTAAACTTAAACCCTCAATGACAGCTAAATCCGTAAACCCTCAAAGGCCGCTAAACCTTTAAACCGTACATAGGCCCTTCAGTCCTAAACCGGTGAACCCTTAAATACAACGCGGACCTTTCAACAATTAAGTTTGCCTCGGCGGCCGAACTGCCCAGAGGATTCCTCTTTCCCCTCCAAGAACCTCTTTGACATCCTCTTAATTAATTCACCGCCACTGCATTTTAGTGCCCACTGAACCCCTCCACACTAAAACCCGAAGACGATTTTTATCTTTCAAGACCAGGGATATTGAAAAGAGGTTCTCGCCCCCCGGCCGCCGTTTCCCGCCTGGCCTCCCCGCCACATTCGGGATGACGCGAAGCGTTCCATTTCAAACCGTTAGGCCCATACACTCTAAACCTTTAAACCCTGAAACCTTGAACCCCAATTATAGCCCTCTCAACCCTCAGGCCTAAACCCCAAAACCCTTAAGCCCTTAAAGCCTTACGCCCGTAAACCCCAAAACCTCTTTCGCCCCTAAACCCTTAAACCCTTAAACCCTCAAACCCTAAAACCATAAACCCTTAAACCCTAAAGCCCTAATCCCTATAATCCCTAAACTCTAAAACCCTAATCCCTATAAGCCCTAAACCCACTTCAGCCTGCCGCAGCGCCCAAGAGCTGACGCTGGCGGGCAAGGGCGGCGGCCTGGGCCTGCGCTTGCGCCTGAACCTGGAAAGAGTTTTTTTAGTTTTTTGGGTTTAGGCTTCAGGGTTTAGGGTTTAGGGTTTAGAAAACCTGGAAAGAGGTTTTGCCTTTTGCAAGGGCTCCATTTTAAACGTTTTGGTTTAGGCCTTGGTTGCTTTTTGTTAAGGGCCTCCATTTTAAGCGTTTTGAGTTAGGGCTTGGTTTCTTCTGTTTAAGGGTTTAGGGTTTAGGGCTTAGGGTTGAAAGTTTAGGGTTTAGAGTTGAAGATTTCGGGCTTAGGGCTTACCTGGACCCTAAAGAACCTACCTTTTTAGGGTTCCTTGTTATGATTTCCTTATACAAGTCCTTAAAAAGGTAAGTTATTCGGGGCTAAGGTAGGGTTTAGAGTTTAAGGTTTAGGGTGTAAAGTTCGGGTTCAGGGGGCTCTCTTGGCTTTCAGGAGGAGTTTGGGATTTCTTTGGGTTCGAGGGTCTGGAAATTTCGGGATTCAGGTGTTTCACGGCTTCGGGAGTCTAGGGTGTAGGGGTTTCTAGGGTTTAGGCGTTTCTAGGGCTTTGGTGTTTAAGGGTTTGCGGATCTAAGGTTCAGTGTTCAGTGCAGTGGTTACTAACAAGGCAGTCGAAAGGCAATGGGCGACCGTAAACGCTAATCCTAAAATGCCAGAGATCCTTGTCGAGGTTCTGGGCTCTAATCAGACTTTCCAGGATGCACCCGTTTTATCATCTTCGGGTCAAAGTTTGTACAGCCCAAGCTTCGGAATCGATGCCTGCTTCCTGAGTAAAGGCCCTGAGTCAGCCAACACCTGAAACACTTGTGGAGCATGCCGTGATCTGCCCGAGGCAATCACCAAAGCAGCCTGCTGCTGATGCTGTGCGACGGCCGCAGCCTTCTTATCGCAGAAACGACCAACGATGCTTCAATCGATGCACTTCGTTTTATCACGCTTGTTTCAATGACTGACGCTCCAACCTACACGTCTAGCTGTTGCTGCTGCCGATATCTGCTGTTGTTTCTGCGGATGTTTGCTGTTGCTACGGGGCCCTCTGTCCTATAAGTTGGCCTTGCGAGGCCAGGTTCTGACCCTAGCGACGGACTCGCATGACAACGCTGGCTCCGATCATGCATGTACATGCTCACCATTCGAGAAGCTTGGCTCAGGCTGTCTTCGGCACGTCAGGATTTGTTCGCCGTTCTTATGTGTGTCTACTGAAGTGCGGATATGTATACGTGTGCATAGTTTATGGTTGGATGGATGGATGGATGGATGGATGGATGGATGGATGCATGCATGCATGAACGGATGGATGGATGGATGGATGGATGCTGACTGCCTGGCTACACACATACAGCAGGCCATGGTATGATATTCTGCTCCCTGGTCCGGAGTCAACAAACTAACTGGCTTCAGATCGGAGACACTGAGGCTTGATGCGATGAGCCCATGCTAGTGCACATAAACTAACACTGATCTTCGACGCATTTAACAGGCAACCCTCTAAACATGAATCGACTGCATCTGGTCAACACGGGCAGGCAAAAGCCAGAGGTCTTTCGTCCGAAGGAACGGGCTCTAAGCCTCGCTCCCCAAACTTAGCTTCGGCTTGCAATTAATGTTGGGGCCTTAGTAATGAGAATAGGGTTTTGGGGCCATGGTACTACACTTATAATAAGAAGCCCCCCAAAAATTAGGAAGCCCCCAACATTACGTAGAATCGGTAATTATTTAGGCCCCTATATTGAAGATTCCGAAAATAGGGGACCCTAATATAGTATCCCAAATAGTAGGATCCTTATTATAAGGACCCCAAATAAGGTACCCCCTATTTTCGGAAACTCCCATATTGAAGTGACCCACTGCGCCTGCGCCTGTGCAGCTTGCGCCTGGGCAGCCTGGGCTGCCTGGGCCGCAGCCACTTGCGCCTTGCAAGGCCCAAGTCTACAAACCACCAGGACTATGGGATTTAGGGTATATGGATTCCCTAAACCCTAAACCCTAAACCCTTTTAAAGTTTAGGGTTTAGGGTTTCGAGGAAAGGAAGACTTAAGTTAACATAATAAGGATCTACCGTAAATAACAGGGTTTCCCTATTGCGGTAATTTATGGGAATTCCCAAAGTTGATCAAAGGCTTGACTCCATCGTACTCTCAGAAGCTTGCGGCAAGATGAGGATCGGTCGACGGCTAAAGGGCATAGCTCGGGTTTCAGGGCTGGGTGTGAATCTGATACCGCGCTTCCTATGCCGCATGCTCTGCAAGGTCCAGCTTTTATCAACATGGGCGAATAGGGAGGTCAAGATGCTGCCTGAACACTGAATTCAACCAAACTCATAAGCCAGCCGCAAGGGCACCAAGACCAAGCCTGTTGCAAGCGCATGAGCTCATAGTACTGGTTGTAGCCGCTCGCAGCCATAGTCGGATCTGGCCATTCCCACGCAATTTGAATTTTGTTCTGACTTTGAGATCAGACGGGTGCGGAGGGTACACACGGCCCTGCTCTCGGCCTAGGCTGAATGGGTAATATAGGCGCATTCATAATTCGAATAGGGTGTTGGGGTATATTATACCATAATTAGAATAAAGAACCTCAAAAGGAAAGATCTCGGTCTGAAGAAGCGAGTAAAAGGCACTATAGTACTGTTGTTGCTACTACCGTTCTCATTATCCTCATTATTGCTGCTATTCACACATGTTGTCTTTATTGGCAGCATAAGTGTTATTAGTATTTTGTTATTACTGCTGTTATTACTGCTGTTATTCGAATTTTGTTATATGGGTATCGAGAATATAGTTGTCATTACCATTCACTGCTATGATTAATGTGAGGCTTACATAATTCCCCAAGAGCTTTGCATAGGCTGCGAACCTAATCTAGTGGCCTCAATAAGTATAGTAGAATATACCCAAAACCCTATTCTATTCATCAAGGCCCCTTTTTAGCACGTGAGACGACTACTGTTTACTGGCTGACGACTTTTCAGGCTTGCACATGCCAGCAATGATGCGTTTCCGGCCTCATTGTTCTTGGGCTCTGGGGATTGCATGGGATTGCCCATTCAGCTTAATATATATATATATATATATATATATATGGGCCTAAAGACTTGCGAATACTGTTTTGGGAGTTACTTTCACCGCTCAAGGAACAGAATCCAATTTGTGTCGGAGGGTTGCTCTTAAGAAGTTGTCGCAGTTTGGAGGGTTTGGGCATGCTATACATCATAGAACCTCAAGCATTTGTTCATGTAGCTCAGGAATTTGGAGTGAGCGGCGGGCACTGAATTACTAGTGTGATTTGGCACTACCCGCTGGTATGAGCTTTTGACCTCAACAAACTTATTACTTCCCTCCCTTAAAGCGACATCATCCCGGCGCCATCCGCTTTGCGCACCGATTAGAACGCAAGCGCAGTCCTAAGTAAGAACATCATCACAATCCGTCTCCGAGTTGCCAGGATCAAGCAATGGGCTTGCAGCTAGAAAGAGTTGGCTGCTGCGCCCCGAAAACTGCCGAGATGGGGGGAGGGATGCGAGTTTCTAACTCTTCGAGACCACTGCAGTCCTGAGGCTTTAAGACGTGAGCTTACGGCACCTGCCAGAAGCTGCATCTGCCGTTGCCGAGCTGCCGCTGCCTGGTTGCTAGAGGCAGGGATGCAACAGCACGCAGAGTCGGCTCCCCACACCTATTATAAATAATCACTTATGAGATTTTTTGGGGGTTCCTTATTATAGTCATAGTATAGTGGGCCCCAAAACCCTTGTCTAATTCTAGAAGCCCTACACTGACCTAATTAAACCACGCCTCTACGGAGGAGTGTGCTCCCAAGAGGCATCACTGACGCGTTTGTCGCACGATCATGCAGGAAGGACCCTTGTCACACTACGTAAAGTTGCTAGGTGCGAAAGGGCCCCTGCTGAAAGAACTCTCGGATAGTTTCTGACGCCTGCTGAGTGTAATCAATGCACCAGAACATCTGTAACAAAAAGCATGACTCTGTGCCACACCAGCACCTCCAGATCAACAACTCTCACTCTTCCCCATCCTGCCTCTGCCTGTTGTAGCCGAAGCTGCTGGGCCTGCACTGTGCACACTCTGCGGCACTCGGTCTACGATAAAGTTGATAGTTCTGGTACGAACCTACGTGATACATGCTTTTGAAAAATGCGCAAGGTCTACTACCCTCTACCACAGCTTGTAGTAGAACGAGACTGGCACTGTAGTTACTATTACACTTTGCGTTGATCGAAAACTAATGCAGCAACGCTTCTAAGATCTAAACCCAACAGCCGCACAGTCTTGCAAGAGCCGGAAACCCATACTGTAACCCAACTCCTATGGAACCTTGGAATTCTCGTAGAAGGCTTGCTTCAGAAACCCTGTCCAACTCTTAATGACCAAATGATGAAGCCCTAACCTGGCCTGAGCCTGCGCCGCAGCCTGGCGAACGGCCTCCTCCCGAGCTTGCGCTTCTCGAAGAGCGGCCGCTTTGGCCAGGGCCTCTGCCTGCTGGTTTGCGGGCTGAGGGTTTAAGGTGCAGACTATTGACTTCAGGCTCACAAACGCTCTTTTTGGCCAGAGTGGAACAATCCAGGCTTGTTAGTTCGCTTGCACGCCATCGGCTGCAAGAGGTGACCGAGCTCACAAACGCTCTTTTTGGCCAGAGTGGAACAATCCAGGCTTGTTAGTTCGCTTGCACGCCATCGGCTGCAAGAGGTGACCGAGCATCGCCGAAAAGAATTACAGATGCGGTCACGCATGAAATGCATAGAATCACCACCCTTATCCGCTTGCGATCGGAAGAGGTCGATATGGAAGCTCCCCGCACAGAGCTCACGTCAATTGCTGTGTGATGACGGAAGCCAGCAGCTGCGTGAGCTGGTACGGATAGGGTTGAGCCACCATCGTCCAATAGCGACCGTCAGGGGCGATGCCTTTGAGATGCTGGTGCTTACGTCCCGTCCTTGAGCAGTTACCTTGCTGCCCTGAGCACGTTCTCGCCAGCGACGACAAGTCAACGCCTTGAAAAAGAATAGTTGTGCGCTTTCGCCAAGTCTCCCCGTACTGGCAGAAGTCCACATTGATTGAAGATAACTGCGACAGGAGCCTTTTCAACTCAGGCATTTTCCAACATCGACTGGAAGCTGGATTTTCAAATGCCCAAGCCACTCGGCAACGCTGGCACTCTCGAATGAGTTGCACACTGAAGTCATAAAGAGCATTACTTTCAGTGAGCTTGCGAAGTCGATGACCTGTAAGATGAGAAAGTCCTCGCGGCTGTGAGTCACTACGCATTGGTATGGGTCCTAAGCCATCATGCCGTTGTGCCACACTGAAAGTAGCGCTGGGCATCTTGATCCAAACGAAAGTGACCGAGCCTTTCCGAATCATCCTGAATAGCTCTGTTTGCACTTGCGGATGCGGGACGACTCGACTGGGGCCCTGTAGATTGTTGATCTCATACGCGTTGCATCCTAGATCTCTCAAGCACTGACTGAGCCTGCCGCCGCCATCGAACACTTCCAAGAACTTTTTCTCCCCTGGGAGCTGCCAGCTCATGGAAGCCGAGCTGAGTCCTGACCTTGAAGCACTTTTGGCACTGATGTCAGGCTGCGGCGGCAATACTCCAGCACTGGCTTCTCTAAGTCCTGCAGAAGCCTCTGGAGCTTGCCCGTCTTCGCGTATCGGCGGACAGAGGTGTCCGTCCGCCAACGGCCACGCTCTCGGACCCCATTGTAGTCCCTGATCTTGGCATTCAAATCTTCCGAGGCACCCCCATGGCGAAGCTGGTACGTCACCAACCCCTTGAGCCCCAGAGTGGACCCAGCCTTTTCGAACTCCTTCCTGAACTCCTCGATGGCAAAGTCGAAGATGTGGTTGTTCATGCCCTTCCGAATCGCAATCGAGTGCAGCTGGGTCCCCAACCACTTCTCGGTGTGCGGGTTGTCCAACTTTAAGGTGTTGTCGAACACTCCAGTTTTGTCGGGGTGCCCGAATTCCTGATCCCTGATCAGCACGGCGTACTTCCTGTATTGAGCTCCGGCCCCTGCCACTGGTGGAATCACATGTTTCCCAAGGATGTCCATTCCTTCGCTCGGCCTGAGGTAGAGGTCGAAGTCCAACAAAACCTTCAGTCCCATGCCACGCTTTCCCCTTGCCAGCAACACATGGGCGATGCCATATGCCACCAGCTTCGGTAGCGGTAAACGGCTCCTTGCAGGCATGAGCTTCTGCCAACCTTTCAGAGCTCGTCGCGCTCTGACCAGCTTTCCTTTCTGCTCGATGAAGGTGAACTCCACCGCCGCCAGGACCTTCTGCCCCGTGGCATGGGAACTCCCCTCCAAGAACATGTCGTCGAAGTAGTCGGCCAGAATCCAGTCTAACCCTGTCGGTGGCCATGCTAGCCCGCACTCCTGGCAGAAGTCCTTGAAGCAGCGAAGATACCGAAGGTACTGCTGGCGCTGCGGTTTGCTCACACTCTTTTTCTCGAGTCGGCTCATGAGAGGCATGTTCTCGTCCTCCTCGGATTCGCTTTGAAGTGCCTGTGCCAAGAGCTGCCTGCTTTCCTCCAAGGTGAGCTTCGGATCCCCCAACCTTAGAGACCTCACGCACTGCTTCTTCTTGCGCCCTGGCTCCTTTCCTTTCGACTGGGGAGCCCCCCGCAACTGCCGGCTGGCCTTTGGAACCGAGGAACTGCTCCGAATACTCCCCGATGTCAGGATTCTCTGGGCCCTCTCTTGCTGAGTGAAATTCGTCCCTTGCCCTCGACTGGGCACTGACTCCGAGCTGCGCGGCCTCTTGCCACGCAGAGTCCGGCATGAGCGACCCGCGGGATGGTCCATCTGCGGGGTTAACTTCTGAAGGGACCCACCTGGTTCTTATGCTCATATCACAAGCAAGGGCAATGGCGGCATACTGCTGACAAACTCGAAGCATAGTGTAACAGTGGGCCCGACCTTTGCTGATGCACATTGCTAAAGCAAGGTTGTCCACAATGATGAGTACTCGTTTTCCGCGCTGCTGCCTGTCCCGACTGAGCCTTCGAAGAGCGAGCACAAGGCACCGGCCCTCTTTGACAGTGATGTGCTCAGAGCGATCCTTCCACATCCCCATCTTGCTAGTAACCCAATCTTTAGGATCCATAAGCTCAAAAGGGACTTCCTCAAACTCACTGTTCTCGGTATACTGATACGCCTGCTCCCCAACACCATCAGGCCTCCTCGCAGTCTCGTGATGAACGGATGTGCAAAGACCGAGCGCTCGATCTCGGGGCCTCCACTCAGACACTGGCAGTCGCTTAAACCTCCATCGTTCGTTCCATCTTCCTACGCTTCCCACGGCGCTTGCGGGCAACTCACGCTCCACAATTCCATACCCTTCTGGGGATGCATCTGTACAGCTTACTCGGGTGGACCATTGACGCCGAAGGTTTCCCACTAGCATGGGCAATATCCCCGCGAATATGAGGGCCTCCCGCCGAGCACTTGCCCATAGAGGTTGTCCCTGGAGGCCTCTCGCCGCGAAGTCGTACATTGAACGGAAGATGGACATACCTGGCCGGCACAAAGTGCAGATGAACATCGCGTGCCCCAAGAGACGACGTATGGTTTCTGAACTGATATTTCTTCGAGTCTTCCCACAGTACTCAAATGCCAGGATGAGGTTCCACAGTTTCTTATCGGTGACCGTGACCATGCCACTGTCCCCGTTGATGACTCCGCCTAAGGTCTGTACCACCGCAGTTGCAGGTTGCTCTTCATGTATGCTGAATCCGCATTCACGTAGTTCTTGACAGACTTTAACGCGCCCTCGCTCAGCTGACTCTACGTCCTTACTGATGATGTGCACATTGTCACAATACGGCATCCCTGCGCACTCCTGCTGCTCGAACCTCGGTGGAGGCCTGGCATCAAGGAACAGCTGATCGTGACTCAACTTGAGGGAGGACATGGTGACCTGCTCATGTAATTGCTGCACCAGATAGAAACTCCATGAAAACCCCATTGGGAGCACCTTCATGCAAGGACATAAACACTGGTCTCCGGCTAGCCCGCGGAACTCCTCAGGCATCGAAGCTCCAGTAATGCCCAAAACCTCTGATACTGTGACGTCATGTCCCAAGCAGAAGAACTCTGTCATACTTTTTGGCAAAGCACACGCATAAAAGCAGTCCTGTATGTCCGCCCCACCCGTATACAGCTTCTCCCCTGCGCCAAGCTCTGTTTCGCAAATGGACGCAAGAGACCCAAGTTCAGTTAACGGTGGAGCCCTAAACATCAAGTTCACCTGCCGGCAGTCCAATATGAGGCGTTGCCTACGCTTTTCCACTCCATCCACCACCTTCGGCTTCTTGCTAACTGCAAAGGCTCCTACCCGTCCACGAGGTCGCAAACAGAAAGTGAGAACCCCACAGTCGTAGAGGTGCCGCAAAAAGCGCTGGTAGAAGGAGGGGTTGTTAAGCTGGGGGTCATTGTATGGCTTCGCTTTGGCCACCAGCTCGCTGGCTCCTCCCCAATTTTGGGCATCCTGTAGCATTTCGCCCTCGAAATTCCGAAGGGCCTGACCGGCGCCACCTCCAAGCTCTTCCACCATCTCCACCCCTTTATCTGTAAGGCGAGGCAGAGACAGAATGTCTAATTCCATGCTGACTGTGTCACCAATTCCAACAGAATCGTCTTGATACGAGCTGCTGGAAACCCGGAGCGCATCGATGGCTCCCGAGTAGCATGCATCGGCAGGGGGCCCGCCACATCGCGTGACATGATGAATGATGTGGGTGATGGCGTCCCTTTGCACCAACGGAAGGTCACGTAGGCTGCCGACCTTTTCCAACGGCCCACAGTTTTTCCCTCCCAAGTACATTGAATTCAAGGATGAAATGGCCAAGTTGACGCGCTTCTGAACCGAGATTCTTTTCAGAAGACGCCGCTGTACACTTCGCGATAAGTCCTTATTGGTCACGGCCTCCTCCAAGCCAAGTAGGGGCAACGGAAACACATCTCTTTGCCGACCATCGGGAGCCTTCGGCCGAGTAAAAACCGGACTTTCGCGAGCCATGGGCAGTCTGATATAAAGCGAGACCACTGCCGCCCAAAAGCAGCCTCGCCTAAAGGATCCTTACTTGGACCCACCCCCGGACTCTGGCTTTCCGCCTCCGGGGTTGCCACGACCACGTCCACCGCCTTTACCTCCCTTTTCTTCCCGAAGTTTTCTCCGTTCCTTCAGGATCTGTCCCTCCTGATGCAGCCTTTCCGCAACATGCTTAGTCAGGGTGGGGACGACAATGGCCCCTCCCGGTCGGTGCCCTACCTGCAAGAAATGATCGGCTGCCTCATATGTAGGGGCACCTGGAGAATAAGCGTGTGCCTCGGCGATGAGCTGCCGCCTGCGTACCAGGAGTTCGAAGGATGCCAAGTTGCATACATTGAGTCCATCAAATTTGATGCCCAAGTCAAGGATGCGACTCAACACATCATCCTCCCATATCGCACGATCACCTGAGGGAATCCCACTCTGGCTTACCCACATGGTGTGCTGAGCCAAACTGCTCTCGGCGACGTTTGCCACTGCCTTGACATACTCCAGGCAGGTCCTCGGGTTGAAAGGAAAGTCGTCAAACTCCATCATCCGCATCTCCTGGATGCTGTCCTTAAAGGTACGGCTGCGCTCCCCGTTGATGCCATACTTAATCGACAAGGTCCGGGCATCATCTCCGGCGACACGATCTTCTCCCCTCGTGGCCTCAGCGTCCCTGCACCACTGGATCCGTTTTTCACAGAAGGCTTCGATCTCGCTTTCCCTGATCCGCGCAACCAGAACGATCCGAGCTTCTCCATCGGCATCGGCCATATGGTGGAGCCCAAAGGCTCCATCGACGACCGCACCTGCAGCAGGTGCAATCTCCTCGCCAATCTTGTGACCCGATACATGCTCAGCTAACACCCACTTCTCGGGATCAGGTCCAGCAGCAGCCCCCCCATCCGGAGCAGCTGCCGCGGCTACAGGAGGAGGAATAGCTGCGGGCGCTGCAGGAACCACTCCACGTCGGCCCCTCTCCGCATCCGCCTCTTGTCGTCCTTGATCCATCAGCCCCCTGTACTCTTGAATATCAATGGCCCCGAACCCGTAGATGTTCCGGCCAGCAATTCCTCGAGGAAGACCTCCGCGCGCTCCTCCTGCCCAGAAACGACTCAGCTCTGGATTCGAAGCATCCAAAGTCTCTGTGTAAACGTCCCGATCAGGAGTGGCGATGACATAATCCATGCCATCTACATGAGCTAGCACCAGCCTTTCATGGATCACTTGGGGAGCTTCTCCGTAGTCGTGATAACAGAGATCTCCGGGATTGAACCTAGCCATCTAGGATCTGTAGCCCTGCGCTGACTCCAAACACTCCTTTTCCGTACTTGCCCTTAGTAGCCGCTCCGACCACACGTTCAGGCTTCGGAATGTAGCTGACAGCAAGATATCCAGTAACCACAATGAGCCCTATCGCAACCAGACTCAAGCTGATCCAAATGAAGAGAGTGTTGAAGCCACTCGCACTGACCCTCTCAACAGTAGCGCAGTTGCAATGGCAGGCACACGGCCGTTCAGGGGCACTTCCAGGTTGTGCTAGATATCCCAGAACCACCGCAACGGATGCCACTGTCAGATGGCTCACGTCCATTCTCCCTACTCTGAAAGCTTTGGGACTTGAGATGCGACGGCCGACATGCTTATTGTCGCGCAAACGTCAAAACTCTACAAGTAGCATCACGGCATTTAAGGTTCTTTGGTGGCTGCTACAGGGTCCTATGGCGGGCAAATGCAGGGACAAAGGTATGCCCTTACATATAGTTAGCCTGCTGCGGCGGAGTGTTGCCAAGCTATTGTTGAGTATAACTCTATGTACATACATAAAAGTATTTTGGTATGTTGTCTATGTCTATATGTATGAATATGAAATGTATGTAAATGTATGTCTGTACCGGATGTCTGTATATGTATATAGTCATAGTCATCTAGTGCTTTATGTCACTACTGCTGTTTCTTTTTTGCAGAAGCATGAACAAACATGTCATAGTCACCTAGTGCTTTGTGTCACTACTGCTGTTTCTTTTTTGCAGAAGCATAAATAAACATGTCCGTTGACACATAAAAACATAGACGTGCAAAAACAGTGCATGCAATGCCAAACCGATAAACGAGTGTACATGTCTGAATATGCATTAGTTCTGCCAGGCACGCATGTGCGGTTGTGAATATACAGATGGGACGCCCATAAAAACAGTTGAGGATCAGCTAAACGACAACTGTCACAACAGCATCGGTCGAGGCAGCTCACCTTGAGTCGGAGGCATGAGGCAGGCATAAAATGCAACTGGCGGAAGGGGATCAGTGGAACATGTCGCACTCGTCGTGAGCATCGTGCGGACAAGAACGAACGAAGGCCGCAGCAGGAAGCTAGAGGTACTAGGCCAAATTGAGCAATCCAACGCCTCAAGAAGCCATATTTTTTGATTTGGGTTGAATACTCAACCCCCTAAACCCTAAACCGACTCTCGCCTGAGCTTTTTCGAAGGCTTGGGCAGCAGCAGCTTGCGCAGCTTGAGGCGCTGGTGGAGGCTGCGGGCTTGCCTCAGCAGCTGTCGCCTAATGTAGGGTTCCTTTAATGGGGTCTATAAGGGATAAGGGTTACAGTAAGGGATCTATAAGGGTACGATGATGTAGGGGCCTTAAGAATTAGGGTAGGGTTCCTTCAAAGGGTCTATAAGTCTATAAGGGTTCTATAAGGGAACTATAATGTAGGGGCCTTAAGAATTAGAGTAGGGTTCCTCTCAAGGGGTTTATAAGGGTTACTATAGGGGATCTATAAGGGTACTATATTGTAGGGAATTCTTTGGGCCCCTATAGTACCCTCAGCTCAGGTCCAAGGCAGGACGTGGCAAGCCCCTGCAGAGCAGCGCTGTGCGTCTGGCCACGACGGGGAGTGTGGAGAAGGCCTCCTTAGTGTCCAGTCGTGCTGGAAAGTGCTTTGGTGTATACTAGTATAGTATGTTATACTTTATGTAGTAAAGTATGTTTTGCTATATCATTATAAAGGTTTCCCCGGCCACTGAAACTCAAGCAAGTGCGGTTTGAGCCTGAATCAAGGTGCACGACTGTTAACCTGAACCTGAGAAACCTTCTCACGGAATGCAGATCAGTGGCCGTGGGCGGTGGATAGAGCTTCTGCAGAGGTTGAAAGTCGTTGTTGCGAAACCTGGCTTGCACGTTTTTCACTGCTGACAGTACAACAGAGACTGCATCTTCAGCTCTGCCAACACATGGGCTAACAGCAGGCTCGAGCGAGACGTGTTTAGAAGACTTGTGCCAGACCGGTCATAACAGTGAAGACGGAAGAGTGATCTGATCAGTAGCGTAACGCTCAAACACCCTCGGAGCCTGATGGGTAGATCCTGTGCGAAGTATCCGGCCTCACAGAACTCAAGAAACTGCAAGCTTCTCCATGAAAGACGATTCTCCGATGTTGCGAGATCAGGTTTTAGAAAAAGCATCTCGGAGCCACCGATCTCACAAGATATATTTACTCTTACTCAATGCACTCGTGCTCCTGAAACCCTTCTCTCCATCTGAACCAAAGCCCGGCCTGGGCCCAATGTTCCATTTGGGTCGTCTGGAACGGACCCTGCGCAGGGCTCGGACTCCGCCATGTTAATGCCTAGTGTGGGCCTCACGGCATGATCCGAGCAGTCGCTCCTCAACCTGACCTACTTGGAGGATCATGGGACTTAATTAGTAAGTAAGGTTATAAATCCCTTAATTGGGGCTATAAGTATAGTTACCCTAATTATAACCCCAGTTACTAAACCCTATGATCATTTAAGTACCTGGCTTGCAGCTGATGCCGCGCCTGGGTCTTGCCCGTGGGGTCCTTGTAGTACCAGCACCGGTCGTTCTTGAAGGCCTCCCGGTCCTGGTGTCCATGATGGGTGTTGAGCTATTGAACCCATGGGTATGGATTGACCCTGAAACTAAACTTTAAAGACTCAAATGCTGGTTTGTTTTTGACCTTTAGCCTTCGGTGTCGTTATAGCTGCTAACAATCTGCTTGACCCTCAACGGGAGCCTAGTTCACAGAAGCCCACAGCCCCGAGCCTCTGCCATACGCGCCGCCTCCGCCGCCTGCAAGCGTGGATCCGGAACCGGCTCGGGTGCAGGCTCCCGCAAGTGCCTGGCGAAGGAAACGAAAGGGGACACGGTTGCGAGACTTGCAGTGGGCTTGGCCACCTACTGAAGGATCCGACACCCAGAAGATGCATCCTGAATGTCTTGCAACTAGAGAAATATTTATGGTTTTTCCCACCTGGAAGTTTGCATTTTATAGCTAAGATGCTAATGAGCCTCAGGCCCACGTTCCTCGTGACTCTCACTATGCAAAGGCAAGGATCTGCGGCGAGCTTCGTTTCTACTTGTAGAACTTCTAACTTAATCAGATTATAGTACGATAGCTGACTACAATATTTCCATAATATCACGGAATATATGCCCCACTAGACACTGAACTCAAGGGTTGGCTGGTGCTGCTGCAGCTATCTTTCACCTTTAGATCGCGCTTCGGCTGGGTTTCCTCCAGTACCACGACGTAGAGCTCCGAAAATCGCGCTCCCGGACTCCCATTGTGATCATTACAGTGCATCTTCTCCTTCGTCTTCTCACCAGTATGGACGGGTACTGATACTACTTGCTACTGCTGAAAACTCTAGTCCGCTGTAGCTGGTTTGTACTGCTTACCAAGATCAGTGTTGATACGACTGGTACGAAATGCCTGTTCAGCCACCGACGCCGGATCATCTTCACACCGTCTCACTACACAAACTCTGATCATCCTCAGCCAAAAACAACAAATTCTCAGACACCAAAACCCCCAACCCCCACCGGCCTGAAACCCAGAAAATCCTTCACCCCTCGCTCTTAAATCTCCAGGGACCCGGCATCTCCTCGGGACGTACCTTGGGAGCTTGGACCATCTCAGGCGCCTGGGTAGGGCTTGCTCAAGGGCTCAGGGGTGTAGGATTTCAGGGGTCGAGGTCTCTACGATCTGAGGGTTTGGGGTTCCGGGTCTAGGGCTTTCAGGAGTTGCAGATATCGGAGTTAGCGTTCAGGGTCTGGGATTCATGGATCGAGGTTTCAGGGCTTCGAAGTGAGCGGTCTGGGTTCAAGGTATGAGTGGGGCTTGCAGAAAGAAGCTTGCGTTTTCAGGTTGCTGGAATTATCAGCAATGATTCAACTCTCGTACACCGCAGGCTAAAACTGTCTTCGCAGATAGGTTTGTTTGCAAACACACACACACACAGAGACACACTCTGCGCTGAACACGATCCCAGGGGCGCAAAGAAATCCAAGATAGAAATCCTCCCTCTCAACAAACCATTTTAGCTCTTAACTGACGCAGATACTCTTCTAGAAACAACACGCATGTTGAGCTTTGAAAAACAATGATACTCCAGTATACTCTCTCTATATGCACAATGCTGTTATTGAATATCTAGAAATGTGATACAGTATAACATGTTATTATAGTATAGTGTAGTAAGTATTACAGTACTGTTACAAAGCATGCGTAATGAGAACGATAACAGTAGCAACAGCGATAGGAACAACAATAGGAACACCTATGAACATAAAGTCATTGTGTATATGTATGTGCATACATATATATATATATATATATATATATATACCCTATCCATCGGCCGACAGAAAAAAACGGATTCGATTGGTAGTTTCAAGCGGATTGGGTCCGATTGATATTTTCAAGCGGATCCACTAGTTTTCTGTGAAAACCAAGCGAAACAAAAACCTAGCGGGGAACCAATAGCAGCATATAGCAAAAACCAAGCGGAGCATTCAGGAGCACGGGTGTTTGACCGGGCTTGAAGCCTGCGATTTCTGGTTTCACAGGTTTTCACAGATCTTCACAGGTTTTCACAGATCTTCACAGGTTTTCACAGATCTTCACAGAATTTCACAGATCTTCACAGAATTTCACAGATCTTCACAGATCTTCACAGACTAATCTGTGAAGATCTGTGAAATTCTGTGAAAACCTGTGAAATTCTGTGAAAACCTGTGAAGACCTGTGTGCTTCAGAATTCCGGGTTGGGCTCGATGTTTTTGGTGTGCTGGGCACGGGAAACCAAGCGAAATCGTTGATGAAAAACCTTGCGGAATCGATGATAAAAACCTAGCGGAGAACCTAGCGGAGAAAATAGCATCCCAACCGATTCCTAGCGGGTCCGATAGAAAATGCCAAGCGCACATGGTATTTTCAAGCGCAGCAGAATCGATTGGTATTTTCAAGCGAAATCCAGTGTTTTTTCAAGCGTGCGATGGTTAGGGTATATATATATGGCGAATATGTATGTATGTATATATATATGGCAAATATGTGTGTGTATATATATATATATACATATATATATATATATGGCAAATATGCATGCATATATATATATATATAGATGATTATATATATAGTACAGATGATTATACATATATATATATAGATGATTATATATATATATATATAGATGATTATATATATATATATACATAATATATATATATATATATATATATACGTGTATATACATATGTACACGAATTAATATCTATATATCTGTATATATATATATATATACTTGTATATATATATATATATATATATATATATATACACATGCATACATACATACATACATACATATATGTATACGAAAACAACAAAGCAAGGCACCGCCTGGCGCGGCGGAGGCGCGGTGACGCGCCCAGGCTGCAAGGCCTGAGCCTGCCAAGGGATCTCCACACACACACACACACACACAACTTATGTGTATATATATATATATATGTATCTGTATCTGTGCGTATATGTGTGTATGTATATATAGGGAGGGTTATCATGTATACACACATACATCTAGATGTATCAGCAATGTAATAATTATTTTGGGTTTAGAGTTCAGTGTACAAATACACATAGAATGTGGATGAAAACAATAGAGTCACTCGGGACAGATATGCGGCGGGCTCCCGCTGCTGCTGCAGATACTCGGAAGTCGAGAGACACGGCTACTCGGTTGCCATTGTTGCTATGGTCTTGCTTTTTCGAGTGCTGACTGGAGTCCTGGAGATTGTTGACTCACCGTTCTGATCATCCTCATGTCAAGGCCCGCAGCGAATTCTTACAAAAGGAACCCTTCAAAGGAACCCCTTAAAGGAACCCCTTAAAGGGGCTGCAGCTGCCCGCTTCCTACCCTGAATGCGTTTTCCTAAGCAAGTTTCTTCCGAGAAGGATCTAGCGAATGTCGTTTTGGGGGTTGCATCCGGCTCAACTGAACTTCAAGCTGAAGATCAGCACAGGCGTTTAATCGAAGAGCGAATCGGACATCAGGATCTTATATTGGCATGCAGCTTTAGTGTTTGAGGGTGCAGGCCTAGGTTTTCTGGGGTCAAGATTTTAGGGACTTATGATTTGTGGCTGCACCAGGAAATGTGCCTGCTGTGCCGCAGCTGGCACGCCAATCTCACCTGCTTCAGTTCGAGATCATGAGAGGATAAGCTTAGAATGAATAGGAAAGGGAGGTTGACAGCTTCTACAACACTGACGCAGACTTAAGTGACGACTGCTGCCACTACCACTGTCAACTATTAGCACTACCGCTATTGCAAATAATAGCTTCTCCTCCTGTTCCGCTGCCAGCTTCTGGTTTATGTTGCGAATACAGACGAGCTCATTCCTGTGGGCGATCTGTTGCTGCTTTTGAAACGATCATGGCACATATCGAGGAGAGATGGTGGGATGGCCAGCATCAAAGCAACGTGTCGCGATCCTGATATATAGGGGCCCTACTGATTAATTTGAAACGGGTTTGGGGCCCATTATACTACAAATATAATGAGGAACCCCCTAAATGGCATTGGTAACTATTTTGGCCCCTACCTAAACCCCCCAAAGTAATTAGGTAAAATAATGGCCCAATACCTTTAAAACGCCATTCTTCCACGTACCTGTGGGGTCCAGGTATAATACAACACAGACACGTTCGCTCGGAACGTGGCCTCCGAGCAAATCTCTGCTGCGCGTGGGCGGGGACGGCGCCTCCGGGAGAGGAAATGATGCCTTACTAATTATTAAGAATAGGGTTTAGTTTTTTATAAAACACTACTCATTAAGTAGAATAGGGTTTTGTGTTTTATAGAACACTACTAATTAAATAGAATAGGGTTTAGGGGGGAGGACCCCCCAAAATGGTATTGGTAACTATTTTCCAACATGTGGGCTCCAGAACCCCTGCACCCAGACGATGGGGGTGCCAAACCAAGACTCATTATGCAAAGTCAGGAAACTGAGGAAAAGCACATGAAGCGCCCAACACCTCTGCAACGACATGTTGAATTTTGCCTTAACTCTCTCGCGTAACATTAGATCTGGTGAGTGATGTGGCACCTGGTACGGATTAACGTAAATGTCAGGCAACTTTAACTGGCAATGACCGAGCGACACATCATCTAGAGGAGCCGTCGGCTGTGGAGAATCTGGGTGTCAGGCCACAGCCGTTGGCAGCGCGGTGGCAAGATTCACTGATGCCCTGCAGAACTAAGCTTTCTGCAAAGGGATGTCATTGAAAATGTCACTTCCATAGTTCCAAAAACCCTAAGCCCTAAACTCCTAACTCCCAAGCCCTGAGCCCTAAACCAATCAGCCTACACCCTCAACCCTAAACCCTAGACCAAGAACACGGGACAACGATTGGTGATTTTGGCTCCTTCCTAGCGGCTCAAAGCTCGGAAGCCCCGCCAGCTCAAGACTAGAGGGTTCTGTGCATCAGGGTTACTATAGGGCTTTAGGGATTGGTAATGGAGATTTAAGGGGCGGGGGTGCCTTTGCAATTGGCGGTCGTTCGTCCCAGGACAGACGAGACATCAATCAGAGTGATTCCGGCCATATGACCGAGGAGACTTGCAAAGAGTAGGTGCCTGCTTTGAAAATGTCGCATTCTGCTCTGCGCCCGTTGTCCAACATATCGCCTAGATGAGCTCCTTTGTGCTATCCTCCGTCTGTTTGCAATCGACGACAAAGGATGATTGAAGTGGGGACGAAGTTTCCCATGCAATGCTCGCCACATGATTATGCTGCAGGTTTTGGGTATGCTTTTCCGTCACTAGCGTGTCGAACGTTGCAACAGAACGCCTGAAAGCTGAAGCTGTCTGTCTGCTAAACTGTTAAATGCCCGACAAGAGCTCGAAGTCATGCTGAAAGGCATAGGTATGCTTGTCTGCATGACCGTTGCCATCACATATGAACCCCTGACACTTCAATCCTGCCGAAGCGCAACAAAGCCAAACCCTCAACCCAACCCTCATATGCAATCAGAGTAGGGTTTTGGGGTGTCATACAGTGAATCGACTACGGACTACGTATATATAAGGGCATACTATTCAGATACCACGACCTGGCCTGCATTGCATTTGCCCAGAAGGAGGCGGCAACTCGCAGTTTTCTGTAATATAGGGGCCTTAATAATCAGAATAGCTTTTGGGGCCCCTGGTACTAGAGTTATAATCAGGAACCCCCAAAATAGTTGTAGTATCTTTTTAAGCCCCTATGTCATAGAGCCCGGTTAGTATCCCTTATAGTAACACGTATAGACCCCTTTAAAGGAACCCTAAACACTAATTATAAAGGCCACTATATATAGAACCTCTCGGAGGCTAAACCCTAAACCCAAACCCTGAACCCTAAACCCTAAACCCTAAAGATAGACCCTAAACCCCAAACCCTAAACCCTCAACCCCAAAACCTAAACCCCCAAGTAATTCTCAAGACCACTATAGTAGGTTCTGGCCTTGCTGGAGACGGTGGAGGGACCTCTGCGGCCTTGCGACGTGACACCGAGCTGTGCTGTGACTTCACATCGCTCAAGAGAGTGACCACAATAGCAATAATACCAGTTAGAACAATAGTAATAATAGTAGTAATTAGCAAAAGAGTAAGGCTAACAAAATAGTAAGAATAATAGAAATACAAATAGTAAGTATAATCATAGCAAGAACGATAGAAAGAATAAAAACACTATCAAAATAACAACAAGAGTCGCCATAATAATATGGTTACGAACAACGAGGAAGATGATTACCGTCGGCACAGGTAGAAGGCTGCCAAACTTGTAGGCAGAAGCAGAGATGAATAGACAGATTAGGTGGACGCATGCGCGGACGCACGGAGCAGATTGATTAGATCATGCTGGGCTCGATCCACGTAACGTGCGATGAGGCTTGACTAGTCCATGCGGCTGGGCTTATCCATGTCAGGAAGGGTTGGACCGGGCCGGATCAGGTCAGCTCGGACGGGCTGGAGTTCTATGAGATCTAGGCTCGAGTCTCGCAGAGTCTCGCATCATGCCTCAGGCACCACCGGCGGGACCAGCGGCGCCACTGCCGGTGGCTTCGCCGGTACTGGCAACAGTGATAGGGGTCGCAGGGGAATCTACATGAAGTGGGCTCGGGATGAGAGAGAATTTCGCTTCGAGTCTCTTCAGAAGCTTGGCCTGGTGCTTCATTCTGCCATCTTCGGTCTTCGGCCTCCTTCTACTCACGGCTCCGGCTTCCGGCTCCCGGCTCCCTGCTTGCCCACGTGACCCCAACGCTGTACGTACTTCCGCGAGGAAGTACAGCGAGACACGGTGCCATGCTCCGGACTGACTGCTTGGTCAACGACCTTTGACCCTGAAGCCCGAATGCAGAGCGCTTGATCCAGGATGGCAGGCTTTCACCGGAGCTGCGCAGTGTACGGAAGTCCAAGAAACCCACCATCCCCAACTCTGCAAAACAGTGGTAGGGTACTCCCAGAACCTTTTCTCAAACCCTAGAGCTCTCAGGTTCCTGAGTAGCCCCTTTGTACCCTTTTTCCTACCCTTCGGGTTTTAATAAGAGGACCCTGAAATCTAGAAGTCTAAGAGCTCGAATCCACTCCGTCGCCTGGTGCCATGGCCGGAGAGGCCGTTGGAGGCCTCGTGCTTACGCCGGGCTCTGGGGTGCTGGGGTCTCGGACTTCGACCTCTTGGGGCTCCACGGCTCTCAGAGGTCTGATATTTAGAAGACAATATATATATATATATACACATAATGTACATATGTATATATATATTATATTAAATATGTATGTACACGTTTTATGTCTATGTATATAGGAAGCACCCGGGCTCGCGGACTCGTTGCGTTGCGTGCGCCGGACTGGTGGAGCTTCCGTAGCTGTCTGAGATGCCCGCTGCAGTTTGGCGGCGGGTGCTTCCTGCGCAAGGCTGTCAGGCGTTGATGGCTCAGGCTGTTGGGCTCATAATGGGAACGATGGCTCTTGAAAGGCTCCAGCACGATCAGCCGTGTATTTCAAAGTACAGTGTCCGAAGACAGCCTACCTTTGCCATCTCGGGGACCGGAGGTTGTGGAGGAGGCGGCGGCGGAAGGTGAGGAACCTTTGCAGATCCGATGTGTGAGCTTGTGGATCAGAGGGGGTTGCAAACAAAGGGCGAAGCTGACAACAACAACAACAACAACAACAACAACAACAACAACAACAACAACAACAACAACAACCACAACCACAACACTCATCAAGACCGCAACAAAAGAAGACACGCAAACAAACAGCGACAGCGGTGAGAACACAAATGGCGACGAAGCTTCTTCCTGATACCAAAGCTGCGGCAGCAAACTGCACTAGACATATTACATCTACTGCAACTGGTACTGCTCTGCCAGCGCTCTTGCTGCGTTTGGGTAAACGACAGCACCTAGAGCTGCTGGCTTCTGTACTACGTACTACTGCTGTTGTTGCTGCCGCACTTGAAATCCCTTCAGCCCGAAAACCTTAAGCCCTAAAGCCTTGAACCCTAAACCTCAAAGTCCAAACGTGAGCCGTTCTCGCCCGGTCACCGGCGGTCGAGGGCCCGCTGCCTCCAACACAGACTCGCGCTCATACAAACTCATGGAAGCGGCTCTGGTGGCACAAAGATGCAGAACCATACCAGTGTGAACGAAGATGTTTTGGAACATGCTAGGCTCTACTATAGCTCAGCACTGGAAACTGACAAAGACACGCCTAAACCCTAACCCTAAATCCTGAGCTAAACACTACACACTGCACCCTGCCTTAACCTACCAAAACCTAGGTTTTAGTAGGTTCTTATTCTGAGCCCTGATATGGCATTTGCAGTGACCCTACAACAAAATAGTAGGTTAAGGTTCTCAGACCCCCGGGAGGATCCAAAAAGTAGATCCCTTAAAGGGGTTCCTATAAAGTACCCTTAGTAGTATAGGGCCCCAAATTAGAGGATCGACTTTCCAGATCCTTTGGGGGGTCTGGGTTAAGGTCGATCACGACCCTTCCTTTCTTAGCATTCCTCGCCTGCCCGACCTCGGGGGGCGCATCCGGCCTATAGTGATGGGAGGCCACAGGGGGGGTTTAAGATTCTTGGGGTCTAGGATGGAATAGCTTGTAGTGTCTATAGGCTTGTGAGTTGGGTCATGTGGCGCCGGTTTGTGAGTGTACATTTGGGGGTGTGTGGGCTGTAGGAGTTTCGGTTCGTGACTTGGTCTTTGCACTCAAGCCGTGGCCCTTGCAGGAGCTCTAAATTCACAGTCGTGGTTGGCAGAATTTGGCATAAACCCTGACACGTTTAGTATAAAGACCTATAGACAAATAGTTTTCCTGAGGGCGTCGGGACATCCAGCCATCACTGCCGCTGGCAGCTCTCGGAGTCTTACTCACAATTTGGAGCCTATAATGTCAGGACCTTATTGGTTCGTGTAGAGTTTGGATCACAGGAATGCCTTTGTTGGGAGTAGCTGTCGCAGTTTGTCAAGCGCCTAGACCAAGATGGAGGCCTGACTTATTGGAACCGGGTTGTGGACCTGATTATAGCATCCTCATATTCAGGAACCCTGCGAAATACTGCTCGAAAATATACAGGACCAGCCCCTGAGTCTCAAGGTATCGATAGATCGATGGATAGATAGTTTGTTTGATTGGTCATATGAACGGACTGATTGACTCATACAGCCGGAAAAGCAAAAACCTCTAATGAATAAAATCATAATGATACACATTGCGTTAATGCAACAATATGCCAACTCCTGTAAACTTCCGGGGCCAAAACGGTGCCGCTGGCGCGCACGGGGCGCCGGCTGGCACGGCAGGTGGGCCAGCCGCCTAGGCACTGGTCCAAAGTCTGAGGAATGTAACTCAGGCCTACACGCTTGTAGGGATTATAAGGGGATATTATTGCTGGTTGTCCTGAATAGTAACTTACGGAGATTTGGGTTCTGTTGTTTAGGTTCTCTGCGGTGAAGTGTGTTTGTTTGAGGTTTCTGTTTGGGGTGCAGCGTGAATACTCACAGTGGTGCTAACGCTCGAAAACCGTAGCGTTGCAGTTCGTGGCATGACAGTCCTCGTCCTCGCCTATTATCATCCTCAACGATATTGCTGATGATTCTGCTGATGACGAGATTATCGTAACCGTCACCTGGAGTATGATTAAACACGCATTTATCAACTCAAACGGAACCGTGGCCCAAGTCCCTCGAAGCAAGCTGGGTTCTTGCTGAGGGATTTGCTGTAAGTTGCCATAATAAGAAGACCATATTATTTACCATAGATTCCCATTATGGCAACTTAAACTAAAGTCCATGACCCCTAAACCCTTGTAGAACCTTAACGGATCCCTAAATCATGGCAACTTAACTTAAACTCCTCAACAAGACCCCAGCAAGCCACGGCCTGCTGCCAAGGTGCAGGGGCGGGGGCCGGCTCCTCCTTCTTCAGCACACGGGCCTTTTCCGAGGCATGATGCGTGCGTTTTGAGGACTTGCAAGGTTTAGGGTTTTGGGTTTAAGGTACTGGCTTTGGGCTGAGGCAGCTGAAGGCTGAAGGCCTTGCAGACTTGTCAGAATCGAATATTGTAATCTGCGAGATTAAAGCTCGAGCTAGTTGAGGGGGTCCCCGGACACCTAAAAGCCATGCGCAAA